TAGCCTGGAGCCTGCATTTTTGCTCCTCCAGAAGAAATTGCTACAGAGAAAAGCCTATAAAAACCATTGGTCACAAATGAAGCAGCAGTTAATGAGCTTAAGCCTGCTTAGCTCTGAATTGGATTTTGACCATTATCTCTCATGATGATTCTCTTATGCTTTTTTGCAGGCGATATCTCCCAGCTCCAGTGGGCAGGACATTGGTTTCCTGTCTTTATATTTCCCCTGGGGAATGAAGTAATAACATGTGGATTTGAGGGCCTGAGTGGGCAAGAACCTAAGAAAGATGTTAACATCTGCATAAAATACAGCTTAATTAACAATGCTATGACTTTCAGAACCGCCCTCTCTATCTGTATTTTGACTCAGAACTAAAGTCATAACTTGGATCTCATACAAATAGATAGATTCTTGACCACCCTCACAAGACATCTGTTGAGGAGAAACCAGGACCGGGTTTCATGGTAATGACTATATTAAGAAATGAAGAGTATCTACATTGTACCTGAAAGGGAGATGAACAAGAAAACTGTATCTGATGTGTTACCATGGAAGTGCCATCTAGAATGTTTCTTTTCTTTTCCTAAAACAAACATTTTTGGGGTCCTCATCACATGTGATGGGGTGGGCTCATTGTGAGAAATGGGTAAACAAGAGTGTGAACAGATGACAGGAAAGGTGTATGTCCAATCACACAAAAAAGGGACACTTTGCAGGGAGCACTCGCCCTTCAAGCTACTGTTACATCTGTTTGGTAATTGCTCCTGCACAGAAACCCCCCCCCCCAATTATAGCCTTACAGTTGGACCAAAAAGGTCCAGGTTGGGCAGATCAGAGTCAAGCCGGAGTGTAATTCTCACCAGGAAACAGATTGCAATGGACCACTCCATAACTGGTCCAAAATGCAATCTATTTGCCCCATGTGATCACACCCTAACTTCTCCTACTGCGGAACTTTTAAGATAGATTCTCCCTACCTCCATTTAATGACCTGCAGCTTGTGATCTGAGCATGGGGAGCACAACCTTAAATTTGGAAATAGGGATCCTTTTGCCTCTTTGTATCACAGGTGACTTACATACAACATGGCAAGAATCTATGAAGGCTAAATTAACACAAAAACGGCCAGACTTAGCTGCCAAGCTAAGTCTGGATGTTTTTGTGTTTTGGTGTGGAAGAGATTGTCACTCTCAAATTGGCCTTCTCAGCCACACCAGACGCTGTTCCAAGACCTCCGTACAGAGCACGATACCATCGTCTCTCGAGACTGAAGGATGCCTACTACTAGCTGCCAAATTGTACCTTGAGGTATATTTTACATAATATAGGCAGCTTGGGCCCAGAACAGGAAGTACACTAGATCCACCCACCCACCCAGTTTTTGGGATTACCATATTTTTCTGTCTATAAGATGCCCCTGTGAATAAGATTCCCCCCCACACACTTTTCTAACCCCAAATTAAGAAAACTTAGCTTTGAATATTCAGCCTCTGGACTCAAAATGCTTGGACTTTATGAGTCAGAGTTGAATCTGAGCACTGCCTACAGGCTCCACCTCCAATGAGGTGTGTTCCAATTGGTTTGTACAGCATCAGCTGACATTAGTTCCATAAGTCTGTAGGAAGCTAAGCCTCATGATTGGAGGCAGCTTGTTTGCAGAGGTAAGGTATATGCCGTTTTATTCTCTCCTCAGCTTACTTCCATGTATAAGACACCCCTCAATTTTTAGTGTAATGATTTTAGGAAAAAGTAGTTGGCTAGGAGTAATCCTATCCACATTGATATGGGGTTTCTGGGCACAAGCTCTTTTTTTCTAGATTTGACATAATTTAGAGAGAACTTTCACCTGGAATTCACTCATGTTTGCATTGCAGGATTATTGCATTAGATGTTTCCCACTAAACCATCTGTTTTTAAAATTTAAAAGTTTAAAAGTAAAGTTTAAACTGACATATACAGAAATTTTGTAATCAGACATCCCAACATCTCCCTCTTTCCCCAGCATGGCCATTTTTTCTGGTTACATGCTGGCTGAAGTCCAAAACATATGCCGTACCAAAATTCCCAGTCTGTAATTCTTACACTTTCCACTGCAGCGGCTGGCTTTCTACTAACCATTTGTCAGTCTCAATATTCCTATTCCAGAGACCATAAAACTACTATGTTGCCTTTTACTAGGTATTTGTGCAGCTCTACTGCCTTATAATAGTTTTGATCTGACTTAAATCCCTGATCTATTCTGTAGTAACTTTTGGCTTCTCTACACATGCTAATTGGAGCAGGATGGAATGGGCTAAATCTGAATGTTAGAGATTAGGTCACGGTCCAGTATTCCATTTTGTATGATCCTCACATCCAAATAGCATGCATACTTCAAATAGTCCTATTTTGGCCAGCTCTTTTTGCTGTCAATTTTCTGCATTGTGAAATGGCTTAGGTAAAGACAGCCACTTCAGGATATTGACAAATAAAAAACTTCCTCTGCTCCATAAAGGGACAGAGGAAGAAATTTTTTTTAAAAAAAAACTTTGTATTAGGACAGTGCAGAGTCACCCATTACAAAACTGAAAAAAAAATTGAGAACTACCTTCTGGAAGTAGAAGACTAGAAAGCAAAGCAAGCAAAGCGTGCTGCTTATATACCGCCCCATAGTGCTTCAAGCACTCTCTGGGTGGTTTACAAGTTAATTATGCAGGCTACACATTGCCCCCCCCCCAGCAAGCTGGGTACTCACTTTACCGACCTTGGAAGGATAGAAAGCTGAGTCAACCTTGAGCCGGCTACCTGGAATTGAACCCCAGGTAAAGAGTAAACAAGAGTAACAAGGAGGATTTTTTTTCTTTTGTTTTCATAATTTGTCTTCACGTTTGGGTTGAGAACTTGCCTGCAGCTGAATCCAACACGGAGGGCACTGTCAACAGCAAATGAAGAGTTTCATTTGTCAATGTCCTGAAATGGCTGTCTTCATTTAAGCCACTGTATGATATGGGGAACTGACAGCAGAAGGAGCCTTGACAGCTGAAAGCTCCCTTTGGTTCATTTCCGATGATTCCATGCACTGGAAATGAACCAAAATGAAGTCATCCTAAACACACACAAAAGTAGATACCTCTGAGAAGAACCCGGAAAGGTGTGGGTAGGAATATGTGGGTAGGAATACTCTGGGGATGGTCTGGTTCACTCCAGCAATTATGTCACGTGATCTCCAGAACACATGCAGATTTGTACTTGTATTTAATTGTTACTGTGAATCTGATTCAATAGCATAAACCTGGTGTGGACAACTTCTCCTTCTCCAGATATTATTCCACTCTAGCTTCCATCATCCCTCACCAATGCAGTTTAACAGCATCTGGAGGTTCACAAGGTGCTTAAAAGGTAAAGGTTCTCCTTGACATTTAGTCCAGTCGTGTCCGACTCTGGGGCATGGTGCTCATACCCATTTCTAAGCCGTAGAGCCACTTTTTGTCTGTAGACAGTTTCTGTGGTCATGTGGCCAGCACGACTAGACACGGAACATTGTTACCTTCCCAGCTTGGTGGTACCTATTTATCTACAGTACTTGCATTTGCATGCTTTCCAACTGCTAGGTTGGCAGGAGCTGGGACAAGCGATGGGAGCTCACTCTGTCCCGTGGATTCGATCTTACGACTGCTGGTCTTCCGACTTTGCAGCACAGAGGCTTCTGCGGTTTAACCTGCAGCACCACCATGTCCCTTTAATAGATACAAGGTGCTTAGCTGTGCCCTAAATCCATTGAAGAAGAATTTCAACAGGGTAGGGGATATTGGTCTCCAGGTTTTTGTTTTTGCTCTTACTCCAGAGTGAAGCTTTACCCTCTTCCTTCAATTAATATTCAGATCATTTGTGCTCTTTCTTTAATTAATGTCTGGTCTTTCTGCTTATAAAGGAGAAATGCCAGAGTTATACAGAAGCTAAGTGAGCTATAGCTTAGGGTCTCAGACTGTGATGGCCTTAAGTTACAAAAAATGCAAACTGAAAACATAGAATAAGATAAATTTGCAAGGGAAAATGCTGGTGACCCTCTTAAACATGGTTCCAGGCTCCCAAGATGCCTTATTTTGGCCCTGGAAAGAATGATGCCTAAGTGCGAGGGAAACTACCCTGGTCATTTAACTTTACTTTGTATTATAAAAAAATTAAGCAAAAATTAAGATGAAGTCTATACATACAGTGCACGCTCTGGAAGAATGAGGCTTTGCCCAACATATCATAACTACAGAGACAGTTATATAATGCCACCCTATTGTGACTTCTTGTTCGCTTTACATTTATACTGTTCAGTTTGGTATGAATGCATCATAAACCAGACAACAAAGAAACATTCCCAGATAGAGTAACTCTTGTACTGGAAATCCTGAAACTTCACGTGTGGAGCTCCATAAATAAACTACTCTGGAAGGAATTATTTCCACCGTGAATAAACTCATGTAGTGCAGGAGGGGGTGATTACTTGCAACTGCCAGGAAAACGTCTACAAATATAGAAATGAAACTGGTGCCTCTGTGTGATCAAAAAGAAGACTGACAAAACAACAGTGAAGAGCCCTTTCTTTAGACCTGAGCAGTGCCCTTTTGGGATCACGTTACAACTAGTGGCAGCTAAGAAGAACAAAGAAAGAGAAAAACCTTTGGCATGTTCTGGGCAGCGAAGCTCTGGCTTGGAGCAAGCAGATGATAACTAGTCCATTAAGTTCCCATTAGCTTAAAAATGAGACTCTCCCTCCGCCCCCACCCCCAAAATGAGCAGGCTCATGCCAAGCTGAAGCAGTGGGAGGCCTGCTCTAGGTGGCTTTTGCCAGTGAGCTAAATTGGGCTTTGGAAGATTAAATTAGAAGATGCAGTCACTGGTTTTTTAATTTTAATTTTTTTAAAAGAGCATCAGATGCCCATGAAAATTCTCCAGGGAAGGAGGCTTTGAGACTTGAAATATTCAAAAAAGCTGAAGAGGATGGGGCAGCTAGAACTTGGAAAAGTTACCTTTTTCAACTACAGCAACCTTAATCTTCCAGCCTTTTCCCCATGGTGACTAGGATATTCTGGAAATTGAAACAGGAAATGTTTCAAGCTCTGCCTATATAGTGGTATGGAAAATTACCTTTAAAGTAGTATGTTATATGTAATTCATACACTAGTTATCATCAGCAGTACAATTTTTAACTTTTCTATATTTTAAACTTAATTTGTAGCACATAACTTTTTTGTTATTAAAACATAACCCAAACAGGTACTTTTTATCTCCTAAAACAAAAAATATATAAAAATGCTATACTCCAAAACATATCTACGTAGTGAGGTTATACACCTCAGGTAACTGTAAAGATAATTCAGACTGTTACAGGTACCTCACAAAAAGAGAAAGGTAGCCTTCATTACATTACAATTGTCATGTAATGTAGTTAATTCTTAATTATTGCAAATAAAAATAATAATTAAAACCGCCCTTTATTTGTAACTAGCAATTTACAAATTTTAATCAACTGCTGGTGAACATATGTTTTCATTAATAAATGCTATTGTTTGTTAATTTCCTTTATAACTAATAATCCCCCCCCCCAAAAAAAGAAGAAGAAACAAAGACCACTAATGGACATATATTTAAAGATGTCTTCTTAACATAGAAAATAAACCCATGTCAGCAAGGAATCAAGATTCCAAGTTTCCATAAATCAGTTGTTCTGGGTTTACCCCTCTGTTCAATCTGCTCTGATGTTTGAAGATAGATGGCAATGTTGTTTTTCAGATATCTACCGACCATATATCTATGGAATATTGTTGTCTTCACTGTTGTCATTTTAAATAAAGGTACATGCAGTCCTTACAATATTTCCTAAGAAGCTAACACAAAGTCTGGATTTCCAGCATTTTCAGAACAAGACTCAGTTGTCCTGAGTCTGGGGATTTGGATTACAATAGCCGACGTGGCCAATAGTCTGAGTAGAGGAGCTGTAATTCATACCAAATGCAGGAGGCACTGGTTTCAGATAGACCACTTTTTACCTGGGAAAATATGTCATAGTGATTCAACTGTGCTGCAGTGAAGACTCTGCTCACAACCTGAAATCAATCCTGGGCTCAGGAAGCCTACTCAAGATTGACTCCACCTTCCATCCTTCTGAGGTTGGTAAACTGAGTACTCAGCTCATTGCCCAAAGAGTGCTTTAAGCACTATGGGGTGGAATAAAGTAGCGCACTTTATTTTTTATCTCCAGGTGACATTTTACTTCTTTCTGTTCACATGCAAGGCTTTGATTCACTTTGAAGTGAATCTCTTATCAACATTAGCCATCCTTCCTGGCTGTTATTAATGTGTGAAAGAGGACAGAGGAGAGGCATTTGTAATGTGAATTCCGGTAGACTTTTCTGTTGCAAATTGATTGACGCAAGCACTCCTTTAAGCTGTCTCTGTGCCAAAATGCTCTTTACCTCCATATCCTTACTATCTTTTGGCTAATTTAATTCAGAGGCTGCCACTGCTGTACCAGATGCAAATATGCACAAACAATTCATTGTATATAATTGTGTATGCTTACATTCAGAGAGCTTTTACACACCTAACGTAGAAAGAAGATAGGTAAAAGGTGCCTCTCTGTATGTGTCTCAAACAAGATCAATAAAAGAACATGCTACAGAATATTGCATGATTGTTGGAAAAGAGGATTGGAACTGAAAACTAGAGGTAGGTGAATGGAACCCACTTTAGAGAACTTTAAAGTGTTTACAGTGCTTCCTGTGATTTCACCCATGATTAATATGCCCCATATTGCAGATGACAGAAAACTAAGGATGGGCAAGAGAGAGACTTGCTTGAGGTTAATGAGTTTGTTGCAGAGTCAGGGGTTGAACTGGGAATGGGGAAGAAAGCTTCCAGATCTGCAGCCCACTCGATTGCAACACAGCTATCACTTATGCTTGCAAAATTCTTCACAGATTAAAATCATAGTTTGTTTGCTTTCACGTCTCTACTATGGTATATAGTATACTCAATACTATAAATTTAAACTCATACCTCTTCTTCTCTCTCTCCCCCTGCTTCCTGCTGTCTGCACTATGGGGAACATTAATCCCCATATTAACATTCACATAACACACATTAAGCATTTTACACACCTGAGAATATTCTACAGATTGGTATGAAGACGTGCCCCAAAAATATTACCGTGCAGATTATTCCCACCCAAGGTTTTTACCAATCCTGTCCTGGGTACTCTCATTTGAATTCCTTCCCTCCCCCAGTTTTCACTTCCACTCCCTTTCCAGCAATTACTCAACATTTCCCAGCCACTGAGCATGTTCATTTCTTCTTTAGCTTGTTTTTTTAAGTCTCCACTTTTTTCTTCACCCCCGCCCTTTGTTTTGTTTTATTACTTCTTCTTTCTACTTCTGCAAACTTGGGATTTTCCCCAGCCCTGATGCTCTGTCCTCTTGTGAATGGATGGAACAAGCAACAGTTGGATAATTGTTGTTATCGTTGTCCAGTTATGTTGGTTTCTGGGTGGCTTCCCTAGATTATCCTCAAAATTTTTTGGTAAAGACCTCCCTGTTATCTTCTCCCCTCCAAAAAGTGAGAAGTAAGGAATTGCTCCTTCAGGTGTCTCACACCGACAGCAGGTCAAAGAACACCAGGGTTGTGCTGGCATAAGCAGAATCTGCAGTTCAAAATACATGGCGCAGGGAACCCCATCTGACCCCATCTGCTTGTTATTGTCACTGCTGTGAAACACTTCAACTATTTACAGGTTTGTGGAAGAATCTCAGTGCATTTGAAACATGTCTTCAAAACTCTACCGTGTTTCCCCATAAATAAGACAGGGTATTATATTAATTTTTGCTCCCAAAAATGCATTAGGGCTTATTTTCAGGGGATGTTTAATTTTAGTCATGTTATATTCTTCTGTTTGCTGCACAATGCTGCACAATGGTGGAGGGCGGGATTTCACTTAACTCGTGCTTATTTTTGGAGTAGGGCTTATATTACGAGCATCCTGAAAAATCATACTAGAGCTTATTTTCAGGTTGGGTCTTATTTTCATGGAAACAGGGTAGATGTTGAGATGCGTCCGTCCCCCCCTTGTGTGTATTTTGTGTCTAAGCACGGCATAACACCTTGTCAGGAGTGTTCAAGAAATTAGTGAACCCTTGCATACCATGTAAGAGTCATAACAATTTCTATAGCCATTGTTGGATTTATTAGTACTACCTGAGTCTAGTGACTCAACTGAGGTAACATTTGGAGTAACAGGTATCCCTAAATTTCATAGGTTCTTCTATTTTATTTTCTACTGAGCTTTTACCAGGGTTTGTTCCTAGACCATATTCCTAACAATGATGAAATCTGACATCAAAGACAGAGAAAAAATCCAACTTATTCACAGTTTAAGAAATAGGCACATTTGATAAATGCTTCCAAGATCATTAGTATCTCCTGCATTTTTTCATGCTGCCAATGGCCTATGTATGGCAGCACTGTATGCATTTCCATTCTGATGTAACAATGATGTGTTGTTCTTCTGAGCTTGACCTCTCTCCTTCTCCAGGGTTGTGATCCCATCAAGTTGGCATCTGTGCTCATTATGCACATGCAGTGTTTTTCTGAATTTAATTAAATTGGCAAATGGATATTATTAGCAGGCATTTGCATCAGCCTGAGCTGTGATCACTTGTCCTGGACAATTGCAGTTATGAACCTGAAAGGGATCTCATAAGGGTTGTGATCATTTTTATCTCAACCACAGATGATCTGTTGCTTCAGAAAACCTCTATGGGTCCATGGATATGTGTGTTTCATGGCCTATAATAGACATATGCAGATTTGCTACAGTGTCATGAGAAATCTGGGAATTGTAATCCAAAAACACAAGCTTACACATCTCTAGCCTATGTTATTCAAACACTCATGACTGTAAATGGATCTCCTGAGCAGAGATTGAAAACTTTTTCTGATTCTTTTTTGAAATAAAACTCCAGAATCCCCCAGCCAGGCTGGCCAGTTTTCCAAACTCTGCTCCTAAGAAGAAAGCTCCACTGGGCTTTGCCTCACCTCGACTATCATATAATAGCCATTTCATGAAGATGAAATATATAACTTCTGAAACTTCCACATGAGTCTTCTTTTCCCTCCCCCCTTTTTTCTTTTGTACAGCTTTTTAAAAATATTAAATGGGTTTGGGTTAGGATTAGGGTATAAACCTGTGGTATTCCTGCAGTAGATACACATGGTGGTTTAATCAAACTAAAATCACTCCAGACCACATCTGGGCATTAAGAGCAACACTGGGTTGAGAGTGCTCTGAAAGGACTAATGTGATGCCTGAAGAGAAATATCACCCCAAAGGCAAATGTTTTCACCGACCTTGTCAACTGAGCACCTCACCACCACTATATCTTCCCAGTCTTTGATTTATTCACTTGTCAGTCCACCATTGATTTCAAGCAGTTGTTAATGGAAGTCACAATCCCAGCTAGATCTGATGAAAGTGAGAAACAGAATTGTTTGTAGATATGTAAACAACAAGCAAACAAAGACTCATAGTCTTTAAGACTAACAGATTTTTTAAACATACAGTTTACTTCTTTATCCATATGGAATACAGTATTAGGCCACATGTTTAAACACACAATATTATGGTTGCGAGGCTAAGGATGAGGATAAATGAGATATGGACAATGACAACTGCAACAAGAAAGGTTGAAAATTATATGAATAACAAAATTCTAATAGCTAAAGAAACAGCTTAATTGTTAATAATTTACATGTCAACTGCCTTTTATGCATAAATTCAGGGCAAGGGCAAATTTGCATGTTTCATATAAGTAGCAGTTGGCACATAAATTATTGACAGGTAAACTAAATGGTATCTTACATTCAATCTGGTTACACTTAGTGAGAAATTGTGAGTTAGCAGCAAATGGGGCCAGCGTCTGTCCCTCTTGCTAAAACTCAGCTTCCAGGTGCAACAAAAGGTAATGGGGGTCTCCACGCTAAACCAAACGCACATTGTGGGCCCCTATTTAGATGCGAAGATTGTGATCTCTGGAATGATTACTTACAGACGAGATGAGTGACATGAGTCACTGGTTATAATGAAGAGCACAAGAGCACTGAGTGGGAAAAGATGCAGATGAACAGATAGTAGGAGCAGTTTAGTTTTGCTTGAAACGCAGGCTCACATTCACAATGCAGGCTCACATGGCCTATGTATGGCAGCACTGTATGCATTTCCATTCTGATGTAACAATTATGTGTTTTGTGACAAAGCACTACACCTTAAAGGTGAACTTTATGGTGAGCACAAATACACGGTGCAATAATAGTACTTTTTTTAAAGAACAGATATTAGGTACCATAACTGGCCAAATTTATGCCCAAACCAAGTTTCCAGTTCTATATCTCCTCCCCAGTAAAGAAGCCCAATGTTTACCTTGCCTCCATACCTGTTGCTTTGACCCTGGGGTGGAGTATCTTTTTTCTTTTTGTGAAAGGCAATGTTCTGTTGAGATATTTGTTAGGAGTCTCATGACAATCGAACCAGAGTATGATGGTCACTGGCATGCCACAAAAAGAAGGGCAGAGGAAGATACACACTGGTTTAGCATCCTGTTTCCACAAAAATAAGAACTAACCTGAAAATAAGCCCTAGTATAATTTTTCAGGATGCTCGTAATATAATCCCTACCCCCAAAATAAACCCCAGTTAAGTGAAACCCCACCTTCCACCATTGTGCAGCAACCAGAAGAAGGTAGCATGACTGTATTTGAATAAATGTAGATTGTTGTACATGAAAAAAATAAAACATCCCCTGAAAATAAGCCCTAATGCATTTTTGGAGCAAAAATTAATATGAACCTGTCTTATTTTGGGGGAAACACAGCATTATGTACAGATGACAGATCAAAGATAATTTTTTTTTGAAAAATAAAAACATAATAACAATGCATCTCATCCAAATAGAGAACATACTGTAGTGACCAGGAACTCCTCTGCTGGCTAAATCTGCTCAGTATGGCTGGGCGACTTCAGACTTCATGAACCCTGGTCCGCTTCCTAATCATTCTTTCTCTTTCAATCAGACTTGGACTGGAGAGCCTTTTAAATAGAAGACACTTGTGCGAAGAGGATTGTCATCTATCGAATGTTAAAATAGAGGAATTTTAAGGACACTATCCCACCAATTTCAGCCAGCCATGGTTCATTGCCAGCACTCAGAGTGTGGTATTCATATGCATCAGGAAACTGGCAGGGTGGGGAAGGGAACCAAAACAGCATTTGGAACAGGACCAAAATGTGTTAACTGTAGGCGATAGTGCTAATCCCTACACTATACACCATTTTCTCTGACAAAGTTATGGTTTCTAACATGACAGTTAGCATTCAAGATTATGGCAATTTAATATCCTAATATTTTCCTTATCCAGGGATATCATATTCGATTTTCAAGCACACGAATGAGTTGTCAAACAATCTGTTTTCTACTATCCCTCCCATTTCTTACAGGCATTTCTGTCTCTTTCTTCCTCTGATTCCACTTCCTTTCTTACTATTTCTCCACCCTTCCCTCCCATCTGGCGGCTCAGGGTGGAGCAGATCCTTCTTTCAAGTAGTCCAAATGATTGCTCACACATGACTTTAGAAATGATGCCAGTTTTAAATATATGGGGAATTACCATATATGCACTTCAGATCCTGGTAGGGGGATATTCCAGGATGTACTCTTGGTCACCAGACAGCTTTCTGTACATTATGTTTTTTATCTTAAAGAAGATTTTCCAAGCCATCTTTGTTATGACTTTTAATGCACTTAACTGCTGTTTTTAACCCCACTACTATTATTTGTTGTATTTTGAATTGTGCTTTTTCCAACCATTTGTCATTTTTTATTATAATAATTGCTTAGGAGGGTAGCTGTGTTAGTTTAGAGTAGGCATCCTTCAGTCTCGAAAGACTATGGTAGCGTGCTCTGTATGGAGGACTTGGAACAGCGTCTGGTGTGGCTGAGGAGGCCAATTCGAGAGTTACAATCTCTTCCACACTGAAGACAAATCCAATCTGTCCCCTGTCCAGCTCCCTGGTTTTGCTTCCTTTGTGACTTCCTCTTTGCCTCGGCCTGCTGGACAAGGGTCTCTTCAAATTGGGAGAGGCCGTGATGCACGGCCTGCCTCCAGGCTGAACGATCAGATGTCAGAGTTTCCCATCTGTTGAGGTCTATTCCTAAGGCCTTCAGATCCCGCTTGCAGATATCCTTGTATCTCAGCTGTGGTCTCCCTCTGGGGCGATTTCCCTGCATTAATTCTCCATATAGGAGATCCTTTGGAATCCGACCATCAGCCATTCTCACAACGTGCCCAAGCCAGCGTAGGCGTCGCTGTTTCAGTAATGTATGCATGCTGGAAATTCCAGCTCGTTCTAGGACTACTCTATTTGGAACTCTGTCCTGCCAGGTGATACCAAAAATCCGTCAGAGGCAACGCATATGGAAGGTGTTCAGTTTCCTCTCCTGCCGGGCACAAAGTGTCCAGGACTCACTGCAGTACAGGAGTGTGCTCAGGACACAGGCTGTGTTAGTTTACTGCAGCACAAATAACAAGGACCATGCTATGGCATCATAAAAGGATGAATACATTTCATTATGGCATAAACCTTTGTTAACTATGGCTCCTTTCATTAGGTGCATGAAGTATTATCTCAGTTGTCAGGTTATTATACACATGCTTCAATGGATGATTACAACTATAATAAATGGAATTGAAAAGATATGGAAAGAGATAAGCGATTAATTAGTTTAAGAAAAGCTACTAACACATAATAATTAGGCAGTTATAAAACCAACCTTGTCGCAGTGAGTTGATCAAGCCATGTAGTATAAGAAAAAGATATTGCCCCTGTGCAGAACAGAACCCCCTCCCCATTGCTTTCTGTGCACACTGCACCATCTAGAAGTGTATTGATTGTATGAAAGGCCAGGATATGCCTCTTTTAAAACTGTGATTGCCACCACGCTTATCTAGGCAGCTAGCTTCCTGTCTTAATCTCGGAAGGCAGTCGCTTATAGATGCAAAAACACAAAGTCAGTAAGGAAAGCTGCCTTGGCTCTTAGAATAGAAAGGTAGGCCATACATTTCAATCAGAGTTGGTTAACTTGTAACCTCTTATATGCTGTTAGACTGCAACTCCCATCATGCTTGTTGAATACGGCTGATGGGAGTTCCAGTCAAACAAAACTCTGGAGGGCCACAAGTTGCCCATTTCTAATTTAAATCTGAACATAGAAAAAAGAATAGATTGTTAGCATTGTCTAACACAACAGTCTGTGAGTTCTTTTAACAGAAGGAACAGAAGAACTTTTCAGCCCAGCTGACCATACATAGCCTATTGCACTGTGTCCAAAACAAAAGGGAGGATCTCAAGATGAGATAAGAAGCAAGATATAAATAGTGGAGCTGGAAAGCAGTCAGTTGTAGCCTCTTGTTCAATTATGCTAGGCTGAGGAGAAGACCAATTTCTGCTGTAATTACTACTTCATAATTTAGCACCAGTTGTAAGCTATATGCTGAGCTGGCTGTCTCCCCCTTCCCAACTTTTTTTTTCAGAGAAGGAGTGCTTACTGAAATCCAACAAGCTATACGCATTTCCACTGACTGAGGGTGCAGTCCATATTAATGCTGACAGATAGCTGATAATTAGACAGCGACCTGGTCATTTGAACTGCCAGGGCTGGTGATTTTCTTGGTACAAAACACTTGGTAACTTCTGGGGGCACAGAGGCAGAAACTTTATCTGGTGGCAGAAATCTCCTTGGTGGTCCAAGGAACCTTTGCTGGGAAGCTCCTCCCTAGCTGGTTAAAATCTGCCAGCAGAAGAGCCAAAGTAGGTGTGAGGAAGAGGCAGACTGAGGGAAGACGTAAGTTGTGTCAGATCCAAAGGTCCTCTAGCCCAGGGATGCAGGGGCATAAAGGTAGGTCAACATGAGGCCAGTCCTGACTAATGTTCAATATCTTAAGGCTGGAATACTTTGATTCAGTATAGCCTTAGCTGGCCTTGTGTCATCTTAGCTGACCTTCAGTCATTTTAGCTAATTAGGATTACACTCTACGGGCCATAGTCCAACCAAAGAAAGCCATGCATGCAAGGCAACTGTATGGTCAATTTCTTGTTTCTTAGGCTTCTGGTCATGTGTCTGGTGATGAGAACGATAGTGTGATCAGCTTGTGTGATCAGCTGTGCAATTCAGGGAAGCCAAGCAGCAGATAGTTGGGAAATTAACACCTTGCCTTGTGAGATTGCCTTTTGGAGATTGCATAGGACAATAGGACTCTGGCCACTGTCTTTCACTGCCCACAGGAACATTTGTAACATTTGCTATGATAGACTAACATCACTAACTTTTTGTGAAATGACCTATTGTAATAATACTTCATTCTGACTTAACCTGGTGAAACTGCATTATATCCTAAATTTTCGATGGATTATATCAGGGATGTTCACTAATATACTACTGCATCATGAAACGCAGTGACCTGCAAAGTATGGTCATCATTTATGCTCGGTGAAACTCTAATTGATTTCTGTTGTTCTGTTTTACCGATATACAAAATGCTAGTAGGCCATGTGAGACATATGTGTATGTAAATCACTTGTCCATTTGCAAGGCTGATACAGGAAAACATAACTTTGCTGCTCAATATACAGTATCCCCAAACCCATTTGCCTAGCTTTAGATTTCTCTAGAGAGAACACTGTTGTGGGTCTTATATCCCTTGATGAGTGATTATAAAGCTGTGCTTTCAAACAAATGTCATTTCTCTGTGTGTGACTTAAGAAATATGTGCATGATTATTTATTAGTTTAAATCATCTCATCTATCTGCCATGATCTGAGACTTTTTTTTTAGTTTGCACCTAAAAGGGCTTTTTTCCTTCTCATTTCTCTCCTTTCTTGGCAGAAGGAATTATTTAGCAAAGAACAATTGATAGTTAATGGCTTCTGAACAACTATCAGAGAAGATATGAGTATTAAAAACTCTGTGATACTTAATGTGAAAACCTTTCCTGTCATTGGCTGAGCTGCTGGGATGTCATATCATTTTCAGAAACAGTGAAACTACTGAAGGCAAAAGCTTGGTGATAGATGTTGACAAGTTGTGTGAAGGGGAAAGCAGCTCATCTGCTTGATTGCCCAGAAGGGAG